CCATGCTCCCCTCTCAATAAGGTATTGCGTAGTCTTCAAATCTCCTGACAAGCATGCCATGTGAAGTGGTGTGACACGGTCATAATGTAGTTCATTAACATCATGTCCATCTGCCAGTAGACGCTGAACTTCGTTAAAGTTTCTTGAGGCAACAGCATTGTGTAAAGGAAAAATATTGGTTCCTGTAAATTTGAGAAGTGAAATTAAGAAAATATGAGTCTTAACAAAATTAACTCAAGTTAGACAATAAATATGCAAAATATGGAAATTTATAAACATATTTTTCATCTACACAAAAAAATCTGCTTTTACAAAAGAAATGACAAAAAAGAATAAAAAGAAAAAAATTCAAATTATGTATATACATTATACAAATATATATATACACATACACATACACATGTTGCCATTTGAAGCTAGCCATTATGAGCATTACTGAGGACAGCTGATCATTAATACATAGTAATATTAACCCATTGCCGCCGGGGATGACATGTACGTACATGCCATGCCTACTGTGAGTTGACTTGTTCCATTGTTTTTACACATAGATAGCTACATTTGTACTAAGTATCCAATGAGCCAATTACGAATACTGCCTTTCTCGCCCGTTCACCCTTTTCATCGATTTACGAAAATATTTAACGTTTTCCTAATTTGCTGTTAAAAATAACACCATCTATATTTATAGCACTTGTAAAAATACGTTTTTTCCCGCCAATTCAAGGAAAGGTGAAATCAGGACTAGCAGAGCCATCTATGGACAGAGATATTTCACAAAAATATAGAAAATGAGTACTGCATTTCCCCCATTTTTTGTCCATTTTCCCCGGCAGCAATGGGTTAATAATATAAAGAATAATAATAATTTCCAAACTAAAAACAGTAACAGAAATAAGTCATAAGAAATATCTACAAGTTTAAACAGGCTACACCCTGCCTGTTAAGAAAATCATATATATGAATAATAACAACACATTTAGCACAAATTCCTCACAGAAACACAGAGTTTCTTCTTGTAACCGTCTCCAAGTGTGATGTGAGTTGAATAAATGAATAAGACAAAAAAAAGTTTAGGCTCCAACAGTATCAGCCTAAACATCCATGATTAAAAGCTTGAGATGCAAAATTACTTCTGCATTATATGGATTGTTCCCTGTAATTTTTCCGAGAATTTTGTTACATACAAACAGCTCCACATGTGCTCAGCCACCAAGAATTCTATCAGTAGGCCTTATTGAACAAGCCTGATTTCCCCCTTCCTTGAATTTGCGAGAAAATGTATTTTATTTTCTAATATTACTAATATTGATACTATTTCTATTCTGATTGATAACCTGGTTACTAAATTGCAATTAAAGTATTAACAACATTAAATATAATAATATAATACAATATGGTTACTAAATTGTTATTAAAATATTAACCCATTCGCACTGGATGTCACGTATACGTGACATGCTCACTTTGAGTTTACTTGTTTAATTGTTTTCATACATAGATGGCTACTCTTGTACTTGTACTGCCTGTCTCGCCTGTTTACCCTTTTCTTTAATTTACGAAATTATTTTGCATTATCTTATTTTGTTGTTACTAATGTTTATAACATTATAGTAATTATAATGTTTATAATAAAAATAACCATCAATATTCGTAACACTAGTAAAATACATTTTCCCGCCAATTCAAGTAAAGGTAAAATCAGGTAAGGCAGAGCCATCTAGAAATTTCATGAAAAAATGAGCACAGTATTTTCCCCATTTTTTTTTCATTTTTACCCAGCACAAATGGGTTAACCCAATGCTGCCAGGAAAAAAAAAAAGAAAAAAAGAAAAAAAGGGGAAAATGCTGTGCTCATTTTTTATATCTTTTTGTGAAATGTCTCTGCACACAGATGGCTCTGCTAGTGCTTAACCACAAAGGAGTCAATTAGTAGACCTTGTGATCTTAAATGATTTGAATTGGCGGGAAAAATATTTTTACTAGTGCTATGAATATCAATGGTGTTATTTTTATTATAAACATTATGATTACTATAATGTTATAAATATTTGTAACAGCAAAATAAAATAAGCTAAAATATTTTCGTAAATCAAAGAAAAGGGTAAATGAGCGAGACAGGAAGTACTCATAATTGGCTCATTGGTGACTTGGTACAAGTGTAGCCATCTATGAGTAAAAAAAAAAATCAAACAAGTAAACTCACAGTGGGCATGGTATACACGTAGACGTCATTCCGTTGGCATTGGGTTAATAACATTAAGTACAATAATGTAATACAATATGGTTACTAAATTGTTATTAAAATATTAATAATATTAATACAATAATATAATACAACATGGTTACTAAATCGTTATTAAAATATTAATAACATTTAATACAATAATATAATACAATATGGTTCCTAAATGATTACAAAAATATTAACAACTTTTTCATAAATCAAGGCAAAGGGTAAACAGGTCAGATTGGTAGGACTAATAACTAATACCTTGGTGACTAAACACTCGATGATAATATCTTTATTACAGACATTATAATTTCTATAATGTTATAGACATTAGTAACAGTAAAATAAGACATATAATATTTTTGAAAATCAAGGAAAAATGGAAACTGACGAGACAGGTAGTAACTGTAATTGGTTCATTGGTGACAATACAAGTGTTGCCATCTATGTGTAAAAACAATAAATAGAATAATCTCCCAGTAGGCATAGCATGTAGGTACATACCATGCCTGTCGTATTTGGGTTAATGTCCATCACTCTTTCCATTGGGAATTATTACTAATGTTGGGACAGCGAGATTTATGTGTGCCAAAGTCTTCCTTGGCAGCAATGGTTTCCAGTCATATAGCAAATTCATTATTTTGAAATACATCTTCACCATATAAATGAATGAATGGAATTTAGAAATCAGAGCTGATTAACTCTCAAAATCTATTCTAAAGAGTATACATATATGCTGAGAAAATGTTAAGATTCATACAAAAGTATAGACTGAATGAACTAATTTGAATGCGCTGTATACTACTCGATATATTGATTTTATTCATTATTTCCAAATGAATTTTCTATTGAAATGTAATATTCATATAAAAAGAAAATTAACCCAATACCGACGGGCATGGCATTACATACATGCCATGCCCAATGCGAGTTTAATTGTTTGTTTTTACTTATAGATGGCTGCACTTGTACGCTACTAAGTCACCAATGAGCCAATTACAAGTACTGCTTGTCTTGCCCATTTACCCTTTTCTTTGATTTACGAAAATATTTTACGTTATTTTATTTTCTGTTACTAATGTTTATAATTGTAAGTATAATACTTATAATAAA